CAGCTAATGCACACTCCAAGGTGTTGTTGAATTATTGTCTGTTAAATGAAAGTTGACTTCGGGATTTGAAAACTGGTTGAAGTGAATTCAGTTCAGTTTAAGCTGAATAAGGTCTTTTGTTTCCATTATGTATTAATTCTTATTTACAACCCAAATTATACCAACACTGTGCACAGGGTAACATGCACACATACACACAATTTTTTATCATATAATTTCAGATTTTTTTTTAAAATGTGACATTTAACACAAGAAAAAAAACTTCCACAAAAAAGTGAGGCTGTTTTATAGATATCAGGAACATTTCTTCCTTATTTTAAAGATGCAATGGCAATCCTAGGTCTCTGTCACCAGACCTCCTTTTTGTTGTCGGGTTAGGTGGTCTCAAAATATTTTTTTCAACTCCCACCTAAGACTTGTGTATTTCTTTTTCAAACTCTCAGTTGTATTAATTTCAAATGAACGACTAGAAAATGCTATAAATCTCATTTTGAAAGAAAGAAAGTGCTGGAAATATCTTTATTTATGGGTCTGCTAACCAGAATGGATGAAAAGAAAGTGCAGGGCAGGAACCTGAGATTTGAAGAAAACTCTGTAGAGGTTTGATGAAGGCATCACATCACAAAGTGCAATATTCTCTACCGACTTAAAATATTTCAATAAGTTCAATTATAATCCACATGGCACAGCTGTGCTGCCTCTCAGCACTAGCTGTCAGACACTCAGAAATACCCCAACATTTTAATAGTCAGAATTTAGGATTAGGTACAATTTGGATTATATATATATATTAGAAACACACAAGGCAACAAGACCAAACCCATCTTTATTTATTTGGACCTTTTGTTTCTAGTCAGAATTTGAGTAGAGAGTAAACTAATGCCCAACCTCCAACAATAGGCAACAAAGTAAAGGTGAAGTAACCTTGATAAAAACACCACTTTTCAATAGATACAAGAAAGATGATCTTGACCTTAATAAAGAGAAAGTGTAAAAGACGAGGAAGCACAAGAATGGTGTGAGGAGAGGGCAATCCAAACTAATCAGGGGGAAATCTGGGGCCAGGAAGTTGACTCAAGAAGTTGAGAAAGAAATCTCATTAACTCTGTCTTCTAAGCAGCCTACACAAATATGATTAAGAATACGGATGGTACCCCAGCAACTAATGACAAAAATGCTGCTAATCTTTTAGGTAATTCATATCAAATAAGTAGTAAAATCAAATTCGAAATAAAAGATAAGAAAGTTGAAAAAAAGGCCCGAAAGATTATTCATGACTGTAAAAATTTCACCAGCACTCATAATATTTTCCATGAAAAAATCAATATGAAAGAGCTAGATTATGCATTAGAAAACACTGACCTAAACAAGACTCCTGGGCCAGATGGAATCCATGGCCAAATGATATCAAACTTGGGCAAAAATGGCAAAGAAATACTTCTTGATATTTTCAATAACTCCTGGAAAACTGGAAAATTGCCTCAAGACTGGAAAACTGCAACAATAATTCCTATTAAAAAACTTGACAAATCTGCTGATGACCCAAAAAACTACCGACCTATCTCCCTCACAAGTATTTGCTGCAAATTAATGGAAAAAATTATACTCAGACGACTTACCTACCACCTTGACACAAGAAATCTCTTACCAGAAGAACAATATGGATTTAGGAAAGGACATGGGACAATAGACCAACTCTTATTTTTCACACAAAAGGTAAAAGATGCACAAAACAGAAAACCAACTAGCCACACCATAGCTGCTTTTTTAGACCTTACACAAGCTTTTGATAAAGTATGGAAAAACAAGTTGATTACAAAATTATACAAGCATTTCAAAATTGATGGAAAAGCTATCACTTGGATAAATGATTTCCTTAAAAATAGATACATCAGGGTCAAATATAATGGAACTCTATCTAAAACCTTCAAATTGTACCAAGGATTACCACAAGGATCAGTCCTTAGCCCAACTCTCTTCACCCTATTTATTGCAGGCATAGAAGAAAAAATTTCACATAAAACCAATATTGGACTTTTCGCTGATGACATTATTCTATGGAGCAGTAACACTAACTGGAAAAAAGCTGAAAGGGATTTGAACAAGACTCTTCTCCACCTAGAAAAATTTGCTAATAAACATAAATTAGAATTTAACCCCCAAAAATCTGAAACCTGTCTTTTTACTACCGATAAGAAACTATACAAAATAAGGCCAAAAATTATTCTGAAAGAACAACAATTACAATATAATAAACATCCTAAATATCTTGGCTACACCCTGGATCCAGAAATTAACTCCAGTAAACATATTGAAGAAGTTATTAGAAAAGGAAGAGACCGACTAAAAATCCTGAAATATATTTCAGGAAGAGAGTGGGGAGCCGATGCAACCACACTAAAATTAACTTACACGTCTCTAATTAGACCTATCCTGGAATATGGATATCAAATCTATGGTACAGCATCTGAAACAAATCTAAAATCACTGGAAAGGATACAACTAAGTGCAGCTAGAATTATTACAGGTCTTCGAAATACCTGCCCTAACGATATTGTACTTTACGAGGCAGACATTATGCCCTTAAAGGATAGAAGAAGCTACAATCTGCCAAAATATATAAACAAAATCAAGAGTTATGGAAACAAACACAGAACTTCCAATTACATACTTAATTGGGAATCCAATCTAAGACTCAAAAAAGAAGGTCCTCTCCACCTGGCCAAAAGAAATGGATTTTTAAAATATAAAGTAGAAAAAAATTATTTAGCAGAAAAAATTTCTCCATGCGAACCACTACAAAATGTTATTTTTAATGACACTTTAAATGAACCCACCAACAAACAATACCAAAATCCAGAATACTTAAAACAATTATCATTAGAAATAATTAATAACATTCCTAAAAATGCAATAACTATTTATACCGATGGTAGCAGAGATGAGTTGGGACACACTGGCAGTGGCTGTCTCATCAAAACTACAAATGGCATTGAGAAAATGAACAGAAGAAACCCAGATTTTTGCTCAGTCTTCAGATCAGAACTTATAGCCATCTATGAAGCCTTAAAATCCATCAGAAATACTAATTATCAAGATATCTGGATTCTTACTGATAGTAGAAGTGCCATACAACACTTGAGTCACACAGGGGAACTCAGAGACAAAGTAAGCAGGAACATAATTGGTTATCTCCAAAAACTCTCAAAAACCTCAAAAATTCACCTTCAATGGATACCCTCACATGTTGGAATTGAAGGCAATGTAGCTGCTGATGTGCTAGCGAAAAAAGGCACAAAAGAACCCTTGCCACAGAAAAATAAACTTACTTTTAAAGAAATAGAAACAGTAGCCAAAACAAAAATAAACAAGAACTGGAGGATCCCACCTAAGCACAGTTGGTACAGTGGAGTGAACCCAGGAGGAGCTCTAAACATCAGAAATAGACAGCATCAAACAACACTAACAAGATTTAGAACAGGCCATCTCAAGCCATTGAAGATAGAAAATAATAACAAAATCTACCCCACTTGCCCAAAATGTAGCTTGTCACCTGCAGCTCCAGAACACATTTTGGCTTGCATTAGATGCACTAAACAGGACCTTTGGGAGAGGCCGCTGCTCATCATAAAACAGCTCGAGGAGCATGAACTCATGGAATTCGTGTAATCTTTACACAAGGGGATAAGAAACAACAACAACAACAAGCAGCCTACAAAAAGATTTAATTAAGAGTAAAACCAGTTTCCCCATAACATCATTTGTTACAAAGACAGGACCATTTTTTTTAATTATTGGATTATAGATTAGAAACATAAGATAAAAGACACCAAAATAAAATCATATACACAAGGTAATAAGACCAAATCTAAATAAATAAATAGTGTGACATTTCGGTAACAACGCTGTTACCGAAACATCACACACTATTTATTTATTTAGATTTGGTCTTATTACCTTGTGTTTATAATCTATAATCCAAATTGTGCATTATAAAATCATATACAAAGTTTCAGTAACACACACAGCATTGTTACCACCTCAGACAATAGAAGTGAATGTCCATTCAACACTATTTTGACATTGATGTAAATAAAACATCTTGGAGAGCTAAAGATGGGAGTCACTAACAGAATATCTCCTCACAGCTCATTATCTCCCTCCACATCAACCATTGTTCTTTGTGGCTTCCTCCATTGTCCTACCAGATTACAACTAAGATTTAGTACATTTCATGAAGAATTGGCTTTATAAAAAACACAAAGCTCAGAACCTTAGTTAAATAACATTCAATTTACAAGACTCACCTTAATGATGGATTTTGAATTTCTCAAGTTCCCCATTTCTGCACAAAACAAAAAGCTTGTTAAAATTTAGGTTGATTGAGTATTTTTTTTTTTTTTTAATTAAAATACTCTGCCTTTAGATGATCTAGAAATTTTCTGTTATTACTTTTTATAATTGATGATCACAAGTTTTTTGTTATCTCTACACTTAGGATTACATTTTGTTTAATTTCATCTAATAGAAAAAGTATTTTTTTACTTACTTCTTTTATAAAAAATATGGGATGATTGTCCCTATTCAAAGGAAGCAGTTTATTAATGTTCTCTGTAGGCTTAGTATAGAACTGGCAAAGTTATAGATGTACATGCAACAAATGTATATACAGTAGAACCTCCCTTTAGCGGACACCCCGCTAGCAGACACCTCTCCATAAAGGGCAGTTTTCATTTGCAAATTTACCATTTTTACTATTTAGCAACTCTCCAGTAAAAGGACACCTCTCCCTAAAGGACACTTTGGCTCTGCAATTAGGTGTCCTTTACAGGGAGGTTCTACTGTACTTGGATGTGTCAATCAGTCACACACTTAAGTTAGGGAACAACAACAAAGTTCACCTAAAACCGAGTACAGGTTTCCATTGAGTATTTTTTTAAGAAGCGACCAACGTGGGGCTCGAACCCACGGCCCTGAGATTAAGAGTCTCATGCTCTACCGACTGAGCTAGCCGAACACGGTAGAGCATGAGACTCTTAATATCAGAGTCGTGGGTTCGAGCCCCACGTTGGTCATTTTTTTAAAGGAGGTTTAGAACAAACCAATCTTAGCTGTTATTGACTGTAGAATTGGGTGAGTTCATACACAGCGATGATACAATGTAGTGCTGTAAACATCCACTTTAGTGTAGAGAAGCTAGGTCACAAGGCTTCAAGATAACTTTCCTCCAGAGAGACTGCAGAGATTAGAACAACAAACACTAGATCAGCTGAGGAACTGGGGGTGACCAGGTGAAAATCTCTTTTATAAATAAATAAAAGTTAAAAATAGGTTTGTTTATTTTTATCTCTGTTTCACTTAGCCTCTGATCTGAACCTACCAAAGTTATATACACAAATCCACATAAATCTAGAATATCCTTTTAAAATACACACTATACAGTACCTCTCCAAAAATTATATCACCAATCTCCACTCTAGCTATTAAAGCAATAGAAACATCCCTATTGGGAGGACACAGATGATAAAGTGGTGGTTCAGGTAGAGGAATTATCATTATTAAAAATAAGATTAGCATCAGCTAATCAGAAAAACTTCTGTGTTCAGTGCAGAACTTGCAGTCATTATAATTACACTTAAACACTTTTTTATCTCATGTTCTAAATTTTCCTGTCTCCGTGCTATAAATGAATGCCTTACCAGCTAAAAACTGAAAAAAAAAAGGCATTTGAACAGTTGTTTCCACTTTCAGTGGGTCCCAAGCCATGTAGAAATACAAAGAGATGGAAAAGCAGATTTGCTTCCCAAATCAGAAGCTTCATCCAAATGTCAATACTCCAGAGAAATCCTCTTCACAGCCAACACATGAAGGAAGTCTTCAATGACCCACCAATGTACAACACCTGGAACAACAATCATCATCTAAACAGGCATGACATAACCCTGGACTAAGTGCAATTCTCAGCCTGCAACCCCAAAACACATTATTGACTGTATTGACTCATCCATTGATGAGCTCTACTCTTCCCCAGCAGACACCATCAAAAGTCTAAAGCTTTACAAGCTTGATATCTTAATATGATTGAGTGGAGATAAGAAAGAAAAAGAAGATAACCCTGGGGTGTGTTTCCAGGTTATAAAACAGGCCACACTAAAACCATTACATTCAGTAACAAAGTTTCCCCTTGAGCACCAAATGCCTCATCTGACCACTGTATTGGTAGAGATAAATTGGGTCTCCACCCCCATCACCTTTCTCAAGTTGTGGCTTAATTTGTAGGCATTGGGAAGAAGTCAACTTATTTGAAGGCAGCTATCTTTAGTCAAGTGATTTGGTTATTCAAAATTACAACTGCATCATCATTATCCTTAAGAGGCCACACCATTTATAAATAAGGAAGGTAAGTATTAGGTACAACTTTTTCTTTTAAATATAAAACCATCTGGTGGTGGTGTCTTGTCCATGGAGCAGATCAGATCGGTCCATGCACCCTGATCACAATACCGGCTAACTGAGGCGCCTTGTCTGTATAGATGTCTTCTTCTGAATTGATTTCTGCCATATAGAGGGCTGCAAGGATGGGCAGATAACTGTATATATGGTCCGGAGTGAGTTGGGTGTTGTAACAGTTCCTGTAGGATCTAGTCATGTCTGGGTTTATCTTCATTTCTTTAAAATGTCCTGTTCTGATTCTTGAAATTGTTGTTGTTAATTTTCTGTTCATGTTGAGGTTGCATATGGGGTATTTATAAAACCATCTTACTGTGATGAAAGGCTCCCACATCAAGGATGAACCCTCCCAGTGGTTTCACCACTTTATTCAACTATACTATTTTTTAAAGCTCTACTATTGTTTTGGGTTATTCTGCCTACATATCTGAAACTGCAGGCATGACTATGGTATTTAATCAAACTATGAACATAAGCTATCAGGTCAATTCACTACTGATGAGTCATGCCCTCCCAAATTGCTTTTTCATTGGGGTAGGGTAAGTAGGAGGTTGATTTGAAAAAGAAAAATTCAGACTAGTTTAATTTCTTCAATATCCTTAAGGATCAATGCCAGCTTTGGATGGACACATTGATCTTGAGTTAACTGAGACCAAGATATCTGGAAACTTTGTAGGATAATAGGTTGTTTTTACATCCATGGTTGAAACAATTGTGACTTGCGGTCTTAGCATTATGATAACCACTTTGCAGCAAACAGAAGAAACTCTTAAGTATTCCTAGATGAGCAATTCAACCAGAATTTTTTATATGGGATAGTTAACTCCATAAGAATATTGGCTTCAGTTTCAAGGCTGTTGTTTTAAACTGGTGGTTAGTTCTATACATGTTTTATGAGCCCTCAGAATCAATAATACATTTTTATACAGTCTAACCTCTTTGATTCAACACCCCAAGGCTTTCAGTTGAATTAAAGTAATTTGGATGATTTCATCCCAACTGCTAGTGAACATTTTTCTATGAGATAAAAAAAAACTGTTTTAAAATATATTTTGATTAATAATGTGAATTGATACCATTGAAACTTTTCGAATTTAATTTTTTTCTCAGAATACTTCATGATTAACTTTTAGGTGATGGATAAAATTGCATTAATACATTTTTGTGTGACCAAAGGGGAAAAATTACAAATAATATTTTAACCTAAGTGAATAAATGCAATGTGAGAAGAAAGAAAATAAATTTAGAAAAACATTTTTTTTTAATGATTATCTTTTAAATAAATCTTTTATGGCTTTTTGCTTTTAGGCTAGAACCCTATTTAGTGTGCATTCTAGCTGACCAATTTTCAAAAAGTATGAATGTCTTTCCTCTTCTGTGATTTTGAATAACAGAAAATTACTCTGATAAAGCACATAGGCTATAGTTATTAACTAATATATGCATTTATTTAAGGCGCCAATTTATAATTGTAACAAATAGTATTTGAATCAAAACATTCAATCGGGTAAAACACGGGCGTTGCCCGGGTCATTCAGCTAGTAGATTATAAACACAAGGTAATAAGACCAAATCCAAATACATAAATAGTGTATGACGTTTCAGTAACAGCGTTGTTACCATATTCAGACAAAAGTGTTGAATGAGAAAAGAGAGAATATGGTTATATATTACATTCTTGGTTAGGAGCCTGTAAAACCACATTCTCGCTTTCTCATTCTGCACTTTTGTCTGAAGATGGTAACAACACTGTTACTTAAACGTCACACACTATTTATTTGATTTTATTACCTTGAGAAAGTTACTCTCTATGATACCTTAATGTTTACATCAATAACTAACTATTGGCCATTTTAGTTAGGTCTAAATCATCAAATCACATGCAATGTGGCGGCCAATACTCACAACACATTAAGTGCTTATACTTTATTTACAGCTGCAGAGCTCTGTGTGCCAAAGTTTTTTCATTGTTAGCAATCAATTTGTTTTCAAACAAGAATTATCTAATGTTGTCATATATAAATATTTGAGGTGTGTAGGTACAGTTAAACCTGTCTATAGCGCCCCCTCTAAATAGCGCCTCCCTCTCTATAGCGCCCGATTTTAAATACGTAGTACAATGCGATTTACATTAAAAGTGACCTGTCTATAGCACCCCCTCTCTATAGCACTCTATTTTGGTGAGCCCAAGAGGGGGGACTATAGACAGGTTTAACTGTATATGGATTTGGATTATAGATTAGAAATGCAAGGTAAATAAGACCAAATCCATCATTCAGTACAGAGGTTGGTAATAATGCTGTTACCGAAACGTCACACACACTATTTATTTATTTAGATTGAGGTAGGTCTATATTTCAACTTAGCATTTATATATGCACAGTAGAACTTGGATAATTTGAACACTTTTAATTCAAAAACGTCTTTAATTCAAAATTTTTTTTTTTGGTTCCTAGAATTTTCTATAAATATAATTTCCATTTTTAATTCGATTTTTTGGATAATTCAATTTTTTTTTGGTCCCTTAGGCTTCAAACTATCAAAGTTTGACTGTATATAAATATTGAGAAAGTTTAGTTTTAACTCCATTTTTAGTTTTTTAATCTTGCATCTCTCTCAATTTAATCTCACTTTGTCTTAATTTTAGGTCAAAGGAGGGGACTTCTTTCAAAGCTTATTCTCCACTGATCCCCTGTGGTTAGTACACACTATAAAATTAAATCCCAATTAAACTATCTTACAAATAGTTAACATTTTGAGCTAGTTGAGTGCAAGTTGAGGTCCCTGGAAGCACCACAAAAGGCATGGGTAACCATGTGATGTATAAAAAGCAGTTGCACATCATGAGAGAACAATAACACACAACTCCGCCTTTGCTGGTCCCAAGCCCGGATGAAAAAGGAGGAGGGGGAGCAGTAACAAGTTCGCTAAAAAACCTGGGTTCAGCTGGCCCGGCTGATAGTACTCTGTAATGGCTCCTGATCCAGGATGAGCAGCGTTTGTACTCTATGTTAGGAGCAGCTGCATGTGGCTTCTGTTCCTCATGTCAGAGGCGGCCATTTCTTTTAGAGCTAAGTCGGCCTGCCACTGAGTAGTGCTCCCAGTCTTAATGACAAAGGCAGACACATTCTACTTCACCCAGTCATGATGGTTGTCAAACAGACACCATCAAGGTCACAACTTGATACCCTAATATGATTGAGTGGAGATAAGAAAGAAGAACACACCCTGTCAATATTTGAAAGTTGTTTCTGGTAAATTCTAACCCATGAATGACCTTCATTTTTGAAAATTTGCTCTATTTTGGGGGGGGGGGGGGGGGGAATTATTATTTTTTAAATATTCAAATTTCAAAAAGAAACTGATCTCATCATTGTCATCAAGATAGTGACTGTAAGCATAAAATATAATCATGATTCAGATAAAATAACATATCATTGTAATTTTATATCAAGAAAATGTTTAACAACACATTTATTTTTACAAAAATATTTTTAAATATAAATAATACGGCGGATAAATGGGCACAATTTGGATTATAGATTATAAACACATGGTAATAAGACCAAATCCAAATAAATAAATAGTGTGTGACGTTTCGGTAAAAGCGTTGTTATTGAAATAT